CTCTTAAGGATATGGTAAGAAGTATGATTGCTCATTCTTCTTTACCAGAGTCACTCTGGGGAGAAGCACTTAAGACAGCAGCTTACATTCTGAATAGAGTACCAAGTAAAGCAGTTGCTAAAACACCTTATGAGCTTTAGACTGGTCGAAAGCCCAGTTTAAAGCATTTACATATTTGGGGATGTCCAGCTGAGGCAAGGCCTTATAGGCCAAATGAAAAGAAATTGGACTCCAAAACAGTTAGCAGCTACTTTATTGGATACTCTGAACGCTCTAGGGGCTATAAGTTTTATGATCCCACTATAAGGAATATTTTTGAGACGGGAACAGCAACATTCTTTGAGGATGTTGAGTTTGGGGGGAGAAATAAGGTTAGAGACATTAGTTTTGAGGAGGAATTGGCTTCAGATCCAATCCATACAGTTACTTTTGACAATATTCAGGTTCCTATACCTGTTGTTGCTCAAGAAGTAAATCCGGAACCTCAAGATGATAATGTTGAACAACTCCCTGTTCCAGAAGAACAAACTCAACAACCTCAAGAACCAGTGCCATTAAGGAGATCCACGAGAGAAAGGAGAAATGCTATTCCGGATGATTATATTGTATTTCTCCAAGAACATGAGGAAAGTAGTGGAATGTTAGAAGATGATCCAATCAACTTCTCTCAGGCCATGAAAAGTTCTAACTCTCAACAGTGGATTGATGCCATGAATGAAGAGTACAAGTCTATGCAAGACAATAAGGTTTGGGAACTTGTCCCATTACCAGAAGGTGCAAAACCAATTGGTTGTAAATGGATTTTTAAAACCAAGCGGGATGCAAACGGTAATGTGGAGAGGTATAAGGCACGTCTTGTGGCTAAAGGCTATACTCAAAAGGAAGGCATTGATTATACAGAGACTTTCTCTCCGGTTTCATCGAAAGACTCTTTCAGAATAATCATGGCACTTGTTGCTCATTATGATCTTGAGTTACATCAGATGGATGTTAAGACTGCATTTCTCAATGGAGACATTGATGAGATGATTTATATGGTGCAACCAGAAAACTTTGTGTCAGGAGACCCAAAGAATATGGTTTGCAAATTAAGGAAATCCATCTATGGACTCAAGCAAGCTCCTCGTCAATGGTATCATAAGTTTCAACAAATAGTTATCTCGTTCGGTTTTGAGATGAACATTGTTGATGACTGTGTATATCACAAGTTCAGTGGGAGTAAGTATATTTTTCTGGTTCTGTATGTCGATGACATCTTGCTTGCCACTAATGATATAGGCATGTTGCACGAAACCAAGAGATTTCTATCAAAGAATTTTGAGATGAAAGATCTTGGGGACGCCTCTTTTATATTAGGGATCCAGATACATCGAGATCGCTCTCGGGGTATTCTTGGATTATCACAAAAGAGCTATATCGATAAGGTACTTAAAAGGTTTGGCATGCAAGATTGCAGACCAGGTGACACCCCTGTTGCTAAAGGAGACAAGTTTAGTCTCAATCAGTGCCCTAAAGGTAACCTTGAAATTCAGGAAATGCAGAAGATTCCTTATGCTTCGGCTGTAGGAAGTCTAATGTATGCTCAGGTATGTACGCGTCCGGATATTGCGTACATTGTTGGGATGTTAGGCAGATACTTAAGCAACCCTGGTATGGATCATTGGATAGCAGTCAAAAGGGTTATGAGGTATCTTCAGAAAACAAAAGATTACATGCTCACATACAGAAAATCAGAGAAATTAGAGGTCATTGGGTATTCGGACTCTGATTTTGCTGGATGCCAAGATAGCAGGAAGTCTACATCAGGCTACATTTATATGTTAGCAGGAGGAGCTATATCATGGAAAAGTGTCAAACAAACACTAGTAGCTTCCTCCACTATGGCAGCAGAATTTGTAGCTTGCTATGAGGCATCCAATCAGGGAATATGGCTGCGAAATTTTGTCACGGGACTGCGCATTTTGGAAAATGTTGAAAGACCACTAAGGCTATATTGTGACAATAAATCTGCAGTAATGTATTCCAATAACAACAGGAGCTCAACTAAGTCAAAACATATTGACATTAAGTTCCTGGTTGTGAAAGAAAGGGTACAGAGTGGACAGATATCCATAGAGCACATTGGGACAAACTCCATGATAGCTGATCCTCTTACTAAGGGATTGCCACCTAAGGTCTTTCATGAGCATACTGCTCATATGGGTGTGGTATTATTTGAGGATATTATGTTTTAGTGGGAGTTTGTATTTGTGGTGCTTTATGTTTGGTTGTATTGTCTGATCAGAATAAAGTATTCAGTTAAGACACTCTGTTACATTATGTTTGGTTTTGACCTCACTAAGGAGGACCAGTTGAAAATAGACATGTACTGATCACATTGCATGTAATTTTCATGCTGCACATCCATGATTGATCTATGTCGTTTGATTGTATTGGTATATGTGACCATTGATGGGTCGAGTCACGATAAATGTGACGAAGGCCGCTTTGATCCTATATTGATATAGTCAATGGACGAGATTGTTCGGAAATACCATTTCAGTGATAGCAATTTTTGAGCTCATAAGGTTATACACAGTTTAAGGAATCATATGGTGCCCAAGTGGGAGATTGTTGGATTTAATCTAATAAATCTATTTGTGGGCACATATGATTAATCAATGTGTATTGCTATCTTTCAGGATAACCCACTAAAGTGATCAATTAAGTTGGGTTAATGGGTATTTAAATATAATCATGGGGTTATATGTGCAGATACCAGGTTGTAATTGTGATTTATTGAGGGGCTAAATTACAAAAGTACAACATCTATAAATAAGGGGTTATGGTCCCTAACCTAGGGTTCCCCCATCCCAGCTTCAACCATTTCTCCAGAAGAAATATATTTCATTTTTCCTTCAGTTGTGCGCCAGATTAGATCTCAATACGATTGAAGTTGTACAGAAGCTCCGTCTATATTAATTAGTTGTAAGGTGTGTTGATGGATTCGCCTTTTAATTTAAATTATGAGTGGAGTTTAGTCTTACGTACTAGCATGTTTGTGGTTAAGTGATGGTTGTGGTAATCTCCGTAGTTATTGGCTAATCATAAATATGTATCAACCTTGTTGAAACATATGGAAGTTGGTCTACCTAACAATTTATTTACAGGTGGAAGATATTAGATAAGCCGAAAGGCTCCGACACGTTAGACGTAAGACAGTCAAGCTAGGTTTTACTTTTGATGAGTATGATAGAGTAAGTGAGGCACTTGAGTAAGCTATAACTTCACTGTATAAACTCTCTCGATCTGTTGTTGGAGTCAACATTAATTAATTTAATTAATAGAGTCATTGAGTTTCTTCACAAAGATCTATTTTTTTTCTCATTTCCTCATTCATTGTTAAAGCAAGTCATTTTCCTCATAAACAATTGTAATTAACCAAGTCATCTAGAGTTGAATTAGTCCCCTTATTGCATTTTGTTTACCTTGATACATATATCTATAGTGCTTAATGCTTTCATCAGCTGGCTGGCGATTCAAAACAAGCTTCTCACTCAAGATAGACTCTTGAGGAAAGGAATTATCAGTGCAAATCTGTGCTGTTTGTGCATGGGGGTAAAAACTGAATCGAGAGACCACTTGTTTTTTGAATGCACCTTCTCTTCCTACATATGGAACTCAATTATGGAGTGGATGAATTTCAAAAAGAAATCTTGTAGTTGGAGACATATTTGGAGTTGGTTTTCTAGTATCAGAGGCAAAGCTCTTCAGGCTAAGTTCAAAAGATTGGTTTTGACAGCTTCAATTTACTGCATATGGAGAGAGAGGAATGCAAGAATTTTTGCGCAGCAGTTTAGTAGTGCAGACCACTTGATAAATGTCATTAAGTATGAAGCCTCGATGATCATCTTCAACAACCCCCCCTAAAATGGGTTTGACAGGTTGCTCTTTCTTTTGAGGTGTATCTGGTTCAGTTAGAGCTCTCAGCAAATGAATAAGCTGAGTTTTCATGAGGTGTATATAATTTCATATATGGTTGATGAATAAAATTTTTCATTTACCAAAAAAAAAAAAAAAAAATCTATAGTGCTTAATGCATATTGAAAGGACCAATTCATTGTTAGAATAGTCATTTATTGAGATGAAAGATTGGATCAGTTTTAAAATGTTTAATGGTTCAATTTTTATTTTTCTAAAAATAGAGATGCGTGTTGAAACCTTTAATTTAAAAGTTTTCTTTTACATACATGCTCCCAGTAAAAAGTATGTGTAATTTTACCCCTCAAATCTAGATGTCCTCTAATTAATGTATCCCTTAAATGGATTGAAATATTAAGGAACTTAATTAGCGGGAATTTCCAAATTTTTATGTTAGGGCCGCTTATTAATTTGTAACTTTCCCTTCATCCATTCAAAACAAACGATCGATATTAAGTTTGGGAGGTGTTCCAAATTTTTATTTTTGTGTGTGCGTGTGTGGTGGGGTTGGTTGTGGGGGGAGGTTAATTTGCAAATATGGCTGATTAAAGGGTTATAATATAGAAAAAAAAATCCAATTTAGAATTGTTAATCACCCATTACGGTGATCTACTTTTGGATCACGGGTGTTTATTACTGTCATGACCGTCACGAGGAAGTCTAGGAAGTATAATTAAATTGAAACAAAGGAAGACTTCTATATTATTACAGACCTCCGTTTTATTAGCCAACTCCTATATGAACACCCCTCTCCCTTGCATCCTCTTCACTCAAAAGCTCTCTCTCTCTCTCTCTCTCTCTCTCTCTCTCTCTCAACGTGCAACGAAGATATCTTGCACACGCAGACAAACCATGGCCATCCCCAACCAGGTACCCATACCACCTTCCCGCCCTTTCCTCGAAACTCTGACGACCCGCTGAGAGCGTTCAAGGAGGGTCGAGGAGGCTTTATTGCTCCTGCAGACATCATACACTTACTGCCGTGGGCCCCATCCTATATTCTCGGCTCTCAGTCCGACTTGTCGCCGGGATGACTCTCTATCCCGCAGGGGATTAGTTATGCTAAGCTCGCCAACTTGCCTCCTGTTCTTGGTTTGTGTAAGTACATATATACATATATATGCGTGCGGGCGTGCGGGTGTGTATATTGAGTTCCTATATTATATATTGGGTTCGATTGCTGTGAGGTTGTCGCTCATTTTGCTAAACAGAAATAATAAGAACTACACTTTTTAATGTGATAAGCGGCAGGTGGGTCTTAGCACATGGCTATCTCTTGATAGTTCATCTGGCAAAATCAGTTATCACCTCATATCTTTTTCTTCTCTTATGCTTTCACTTGATAAACTCATGAAGATAATTCGGTCATTTATGTATTAACTAATGCACTTATCAACTCCTAGATATCGTTTATTAGTATTTATAGGCAAGGTTATTTGTAATTCATCCTTCTAAAATTTGTTTCTTGCTTCACAATAAATCATAATGCATCAATTAATTACTAGATCGACGAGATTATATACGACGTCTTTTGTGTATGCCTGGGGGTAAGATGGATTGTTGATATAAACAAAACCATTGGATAAAGGGTTGTTCGTATATTAACTGATCTATACAATCATTGATGAAATAAGTAGGCTATTTATCCACCGAATCGAAATCATTTTTCAAATATCCTAATAAAATAGAAAGACAGAAAGAGATTTTGATGAACCAAAATGGCCGGACGGTGCAGATTCAAGCTTCGTGCCGCCGTTGGTGTACGCAACGATGGGGAGCTCGAGGGATGTGGCAGTGGGCACTGCGGCTGTACCGTCACTTCTATTAGCGTCAATGCTCGGAAAAAATGTATCTGCCATTAAAGAGCCGCTCCTATATTTACACCTAGCCATTACCGCTACGTTTTTTGCCGGAGTTTTTCAGGCTGCTTTGGGTATTCTAAGGTACATTTTATTCACCATATACAATTAATTGGTCACCGTCTTAATTTATTGGTGTTTTTCAAAGTTTTTTAGAGCAATATATTTATTTTTTAAACTGGGTTTTGATGTTCTTGGTTTTAGATTTAGTTTTGTTTGAATCAGTGCATTAAAGTTACTTTTTATATATTTATATATAATTGCAGGTTAGGGTTCATAGTGGATTTTTTATCACATGCAACAATAGTAGGGTTTATGGGGGGAGCAGCCACAGTCATTTGCCTTCACCAGCTCAAGGGCATTTTGGGGCTTGAGCATTTCACCAAAGAAACTGACCTTGTCTCTGTTATGCACTCTGTCTTCACCAACACTCGGCAGGTTAATTATTTCTTACCCACCCGCCCACCTATTATTATTTTAATTTATACAATAAAAATTAATTATTACAACTTGCTTCGTACAAAACTTCTCTGAATTAAGCTACAGAAGGGGTCGACTCTTAAATCTTATTTTTTACACACTGAATTTTTCTTCATTGTTAAAAAATAATAGAGTACACCACTATTTTAATTACAATTATCTTTTTCATGGAAAAATTCTAACTTATTTTTTAGTGTTGTGAGAGTAGTATATTATAACTTTCTCCAACAGCTTTGGAGTTTAAGAATTAATTAATTAATTAAATGTCGTCAATTTCCTTGAATTGGCCTTAAATATAGGAAGATAATAGATAGTAGATTAAGTGTCTACTTTGGTTTTCTTGTTACAGTGGAAATGGGAGAGTGCAGTTCTTGGATGTGGCATACTTTTCTTCCTCTTTAGTACACGCTACTTTGTAAGTAATGTTCAATATCTAATATTTGAAGAAGCAATGATATATATACATGTTGCAAAGAGATCATTTTTTGCTTAATCTTATAAGTTTAGGATGATTTCACAAAACTACCATGAAAACTTTGTGGGATTTGCACAAAACTACCATAAATTAACTTTTCTCATTGAAAATTTTCATGAACTCTAAGAACTACAAAAAAAAAATACTGTGAATTATTAAAAATTATTGTTATGGTATCAACTTTTAGATGACAAGTCTAACCTACCCTTATA